TTATAATCCGGTTATAAATGTATGTCTTAGTCTTTACTGCTTTGTCCTATAGTTTAAGTAATAACTTAAATTCCTTTAATATTATTTATATTAAACAGGTATACAGATTAGGAACAGCTATTAACTCTATTAATAGTCACAACTTGTATACAGAGTAAGATTATAATACATCTGTACACTAAGTACAGATCCTGCTAGCGCATAGATTACATAGTATATCTTATGTTACTAGCATATAAAATCCTGCACTATAACTGATTAGGAATAACCTGACCAGGCAATAATTGGCTCTATATATATAGCCAAATAGTGCAGACTATAGTCTGCTGATCAGCATGCATTCTTAATACTCTCCCTTAAGCTGAATTAGCTTGTGACTTGTCTTAAGACCTTGTCAATCTAAGTAGAGATACATAGTTGTCAAACAGTGGCTATATTAATTATAAACTTTATCTTTATAACTAATAATTAAGAGTGAAACTTCTAAGAAAATTTATCCTTAAAGACTTTTAGATAAGGCAGCTTCTCTATTTTTGTACTAAGTACTATTAAGGGGCTTAGAGTCGCTTCTAACAAGGCCTGCCTTTAAGACAGCAACTCTTATTCTGTTAAAGTCCCTAATAGAGATTTCATTTAAACTTAAAACTTTAGTATCACTATAATCTTGTCGCAGAGGTTCTAAATAATCTCCTTCTTGTCACAGAGTTAATTTTTAAGAGCCTTAATCTTAATGCTAGTGCCTCTGTTAAGGTCCTAGTATCTTTCTTCTTAAGTTTCCTTCTCTTAAAGTTTATAAGTAGCTACTAATGTTAGTATAAATGCCGCTATATATGTCTGATTCTTGTTAATTAGCACTATAAAGGCTAGGAGAGCTAATAAATCATCTGCCGCTCTCTCTGTATACTTAATTAATGCGCACAGGGCATCTTGATCTATAAAAGGGGCTTTGTCTAGACTCCGCCTCTGGTTGCTTAAGGAAGGATAGCAAACTTTGTTACTCTCCTTTCTCTTTATTTGATTACGAATCATCTTGACTTGATAGTTCTTAAACCTTTATATAATACAGAGTATTTATATTAAATAAACCTTACATTATTTCTAGAGTAACGACTTTCTTATATAGTTAAATAACCTTAAATGGGTTCTCTAATAACTATGCTATAGATAAGAGAGTTTTGTATTATCTCTTAGGATAGTAAGTAAGTATTAAGCTTATATTTATTAGAATAACTTAAAACTAGAATAAGTTAATAGTTTATAGATTACTAAAACGTAAGCTAAGAAATCTATCTATAATGTGGCTAACGCTCTACTTTATATACTCCTTTATCAAACATAAGGAGTACTATTAGTTAATCTGTGCAAAGGATCTAACAAAGTATCTATAGGGCCAGAAGTGATAGCTTTCTTTTAAAGAAGATTATACTTTCTTAAAGAGGTTATATTAATCTCTGATTTTATAGTACTTATATAAGGAGCTATATGCTATATAGATGCCTTTATTAGTAGCATAGTAGCTTAACAGCAAGAGTTTCGTATACTATTATAAATACGCTATTAGTACTGCCATCTAAGTGCTGCTATCCGAGTATGTAGTTAGTCCTGTATATTTCCTGCACTATAATAAAGAAGATACTCTATTTATTATACTTCTGATATACTTCTAATATTAATATATATTTATTTATTCGTCCTTATTTAATAATAAGGCTAGAATATTATATTTATTAATTAATATTTTAACTAATTTATGCTTATCCTCTTTTATTTAAAGTTCTAATATTATTTTCTTAATATAAGTTAACTAGTCTAGAAATAGAGTCCTCTGCTAGTAATTATAAGTTACTCTTATATTAAGAATCCTTCTAATCTCTTTTAGATTCTTAATCTTAAAGATATAAGTAAAGTCTTTCTTAAATTTAATTATATCAGAGAATTATTAAGAAATAATTACTAAGTCATCTACCTAAGTACTAATAATTATTTCTTTGTTGTTTATAAAGATATATAGGTCAGAAGGAGATGATTTAAAGCTAAGTTTTAACAGGCTAGCTATTATATAGTTATACTAATCCTTAATGGCTTGTTTCAGACTATATAAGCTTTTTAACATATGCAGAGCCATCTTATTTAGTATATCAACTCTATTAAGGGGTAATATATATATTATCTTTATGTTAGTAGATTCTGTAAATACATTATTAATATCTATCTAATAGCATTCTAGGTTCTCTACTGCTATAATTACTAATAATATCCTTAAGGAATCTATACGTATTATTAGGGCAAAGGTTTCTTTATAATTAATATTATATCTTTATAAGAAACCCTGAGCTATAAGTCTGACTTTAAATTAATTTATTCCTTTGTTCTTTGTGTACTTAATATTAAATACCTATTTGCTTATAATAATATTAGATCCTGTGAGAAGGACAACTTGCTTCTAAGTCTTATTTACTTATAGTATAGTAAGTTCTTACTTAATTATATTAGTCTAGTCTACGCTAAAGATAAGGTCTAAGATTACTTACTTATACATTATCAGAATTAGGATCTTTTGCTAATGTACTATATATGCTCTTGTGATCTTTTAATCTTATAATTTATAGTACTCGTCCTTATTATTATCTTAAGTTCGCTTACTTATTACTTATAGTCTTACCTTAGTAAGTCTATTTATTTGCTATTAAAGACTTAGTTTTTTAGCATCCTTTTTTGTTTTTATTATAATAATCTTCTTGTCTTTCTAGCTACCTAGTATTAAAGGAACTTTAATTAATATTTTGATAAATGCCTTTACTAATAAGTTAATTTCTTTTGTTATTAGTATAAGAAATACCTAATTAATTAAGTTAACTATATATAATATAGCCAAATTTAGTTTAGTGTCTTAATTAGTAATAGGCTCCTTTTAAGGTCGTCCTCTTAGTACATAATCTAATAAAGAATTAGAGGTCCCTCTTATATAAAGGTCAATAATTCTACTCTTCTAAAGTTTATTAAATGTTACAACTAAAGAACAAGTTATATATCTAAGATCTGGCATGAAGATACAAAACTACTTTGTTATATTCTCTTTATATCCTATAAATACTTTTATTTAGCCCTAGTTTATCAGCTTATCTTGTCTCTCTAATACTAGTAGTGACTTTGGATTTATATATAAATAATACTTGTATCTCTAGATTCGGATATAATTAATTAAGAGTTTTGTCTTAGTTTAGGCTTCCTTAAGAGTGATTCTTTATCTATTTATCTCTAGGCTAATTGTAGTCTAGTTATAGATGTATGCCTTAGTCTTTACTACTTTATCCTATAGTTCAAGTGGTAACTCAGATTCCTTTAATATTACTCAGATATTATTTTCTGTTGTTTGAATCGTACGTTTAGCTATATTATTCTGACTTAAGGTGTATAAGATAATATATTACGTACTAATTCCTATCTGTTAACTCTATTTGTTAAGAGTCTATTTAAGTTCTCTAGTATTATTACTTCAGATTGCCTTTAGCTTCGTCCCTGTAATAAGTTCTTTACTCTAACGCTACTTCTTAAGGTGATCCTTTACTCTCTTTTAATCCTTAATTAGGATTACTTATAACTTTCTAAAATAGTTATTAATAACCTTTAAGAAGTATTAAGCGCCACTAAATATTATTAGAAAGGGGCTATAGATATTAATTAATATAAGGTTAAGAAGATTAGCCTTATGCTAGAAAACTTAAATATTTGTTTAGTTTCTTATCTTAATTAAATTATATACTTTATAAATATTTATCTTACTTAGCTTATAGATTACTTTCTATAGTGTTGTAATCTTATGCAAATCCTGTAATTTCTTCTCCTTTATATAAGTAAACCTTTTATATTATAATTAATACTATTTCTTTGTAATATTAATTATAGCTTCTTTAGAGACTATTAATTAACTATAATTAATAAGTAGCTTAAAAGGGATGTTATAAATTATAGTCTATAGTAGTATCTTTTTTAAGATAAAGAGCTTTAGCAGTATATCAGATTTGGCTATATTATATATAGTTAAATTTATTAGAGTAGATTACGTAGAATAAGTAGACTTTGTTACTTTAAGACTTATTTAATTAATAATATAGAGACCTTTATATCTAATAGCTTTAAGGATTATATTATTATTCTAATCTTGTATATATAAGGCCTTCTTATTAAAACTGCCTAAAAGCCTTAATTTATATAATAAAGAGCCAGAAAAAAGGCTAGCGCTTAGACTAGGTATATATAATATATTTAATAAGGTTATTACTCCTCTTTTTGTATATATCTAGGTGTTATGTGTCACGTTAGAAGCAGGCGACGAGTGCGCGAGATCTTCAGCCTATGTTAAGTGCTATCCTAAGACTGAAGAGTTGACAGTAAGGGCCCTAGGGTCACTTCTATATAACAAGCATGCCTTTTACTAACATCTAGTGCTAATTAATACCCGGCGCCCTAGCGCTAACGGGCGATAAGTATAGCAGCTGTGACATCACCCCCCCCTCCAGAAGACTTGACATGCCCTTATGTCCTGAGAAAAGAGAGAGATATAAATAAAAGAAGATCTACAGAATAGCAAGGAAATACACAGTCAAGTCAGCGGTGTTTGAGCTAGTAACGAGATCAAGCTGACAGCATTATAATGCGTGTTGCCTTGTTTTCCTGGTCTCTTAAGTGGTTACTCTATTATCATCTAGGTGCTCTGAAGGTGACTTATCTCTCAGAGCGCTGTCAAGCCAGTGCTAGAGTCGCTTAAGTAGACTAGCTTCCTATGGGTACGCGTTGTAGTAAGCTTGTAACGCCAGAGGAGCGTTCCGCAGGTTGCCAGCAGGGTACCATGTATCGTCAGGGTCCCATCCTTGCCATTGTATCTTGTATTCCAGCCGACCTCTGCTAATTCTTGATGACAGAATTCTCTCAACTTCCCACTCGAGATCTCTGTCAACTTCAACTGCAGGAGGTGGAGTAGGGATCTGGCCAGAGAGAGGATTGTTATCTGCCTTACGTAGCCGGTCTGCGTGTAGCACTAGTGAGATACGGTAGGAGGACGGGAGCTCTAGCTTATAGGAGTGGCCAACCATCTCTATAATACGAAAGGGGCCTGCGACAGGATAGTCCAGCTTGTCAGAGGGCCTATCTGTTCTCCACAGCTTTTTGACGACGAATACAAGGTCTCCTGATTAGAAATCAGGCGAGCGACGTTTCTTGTTAGCTTGACGAGCATGCTGAGCTTGAGCTGAGGTTATATTCATTCTGGCCCAGCTTACTGCCTTGTCAATACGGCGTAGGTACTCCTTTGCTTGCTCTCGAGTAACTTGTTCTTACGTGTCCTGGCGTGAGCTGTCACTTATCTGTGTCTAGTCAAAATCTAAGTAAGGTTCTTAGCCGTACTCAATTATATAAGGTGTAAGTCCTGTGGATTCGTAGACTAGAGCTAACCCTGCAGTGTCTAATGCCAGCAAAAGATATGCCTAGTCATCTTAGAAGTGATTTATAAATAGTCAAAGCCTTATATCAATAATCTAGTTAATGATTTCCGTCTGGCCATCTGTCTAGAGATGAGCTGATATTAATAACTTGAGCTTAACACAACAGAGGCAAGATAGCTCATCAAGAAATGCGCTAATAAACTATGACCCTCTATTGCTAGTGATAGTCTTTAGGCATCCTTTAAATTGCTATATATACCTATAGAAGAGGTCGGCCATAGTAGCTGTAGTAATAGTCTTCTTTGTTAGTAAGCAAATATGTCTCTTGCTCAAGCAATCTACTACTACAAAGACGGCATTATAGCCGTTACTAACAGTGCTAGGCATGTAGAGATCCATCGAGAGGTCGTCCTATGGTCGCAGGGGGACAGGCAAGGAGTGCAGGAAACCAGGCGTCTTATCACGCGGCTTGTAGAATCGATAGCATTCATGACAGTTAGCAACATAACGTGCTATGTCACTACTCTAATAAGGCCACCAATATAGCCTAGCCACCAAAGCACGTGTTTTCGCCTGACCTAGATACGCTGTAATCGTCTGCGAGTGGATCTGGCAAAGCAAGTGTGTACGCAGGTTATCCTCGCCTTCTGGCACCACAAGTATTTCTTGATATCTATGTATAAACCTGCGGCGCGTAGCCTTATTACGACTTGACGAACGTGCTGTTGATGCTCCTTCTTGTCTTTCGAGAAGATCAGGATGTTGTCAATATACATTATACAAAAGACGCTAAGGTAGTCTATAAGGACGGAATTAATGTAACGCTAAAAGGTAGCTGGACTGTTACAGAGGCCAAAAGGAAGAACAACTAGCTTAAATGCTCTGTAAGTCGTTCAGAATAACGCCTAGAGAATTGAGTCAGGGTCTATCCTGATACGATTAAAAGCGTGACAGATATCAAGCTTTGTGAAGATCATCGCACAAGCTAACTGTGACAGAGTCTCTGAGATTAGAGGTAAGGGATATCTATCTTTCTTCGTAAGTTTATTTAGACTTCTGTAATCAATACAGAATCTAAGGTCCCCGTTCTTCTTCTTGACGAATAAAACGGGTGACGAGAAAGAGGAAGATAACGGGCGAATAAATCCCTTACGTAAGTTCTCTATCAGGTACTCTCTCATAGCTTCGAGCTCTCGAGTTGACATCTTGTACAAATGCGACGCCTTCATTTCTGGTTCCTTGTCAAAGCGCAGCTTGTGGTCGAACGGACGGTGCGGAGGCAGAGTATCTGCAGCTACTCTTGAGAAGGCGGCAGCTTGATCGCAGAGATACGGAGGAAGATGGCTAAGGACAGACTCAAGATCGTTAGAACAGGGTCTAAGGTCACCGAGAGCATCCTGTTCGTCGTCGTCAGCTATCTGAACTCGACTAACTTAGCACAGGGCAGGGCGGCCTCGTTTCTGCAGCTTATAGTTGATACCATCCAACGTAACTGTCCCTAATATCGCGCCGTCCTGTTTACTACTAACACGAAAGGCTACGGCGCCTACAAGATTTACAGAGACAGTTCTGTTGTTAGTATCAGCCTCATCTAGATCAGAGTCAGGACTGAGAGGCTTTTGTCAGCTTTATTAGAGAGAGGCAACTCAAGCTCTGCTTTGCAACATTAATAATGCTGACACTGTTTTTGCATAGATTTCTGAAACCAAGTCCTAGCCTTGCCGGCATTATTAGAGCTAACTTTAGGGCTGTAATGTCGAATATCCTCCTCAAATAGCCTATCTTTATAAGTGTTGTACTATTTCTGTACTTAATAGTTCTTTAGCTAGTATATCTTGTTCCTCTTATAATCTGGCAGGATATCGTGCTTAGCTAGCCATTTGCAGTCTAGAATAATATCGTAAGAGCCAAGGTCGGCAGCCAAGAACAGGATATTGGCAAGAGTGCGGCTGTAGATCCGGGCTGTGGCAAGAAGCAGATGATTGATTAGCCTGCTAGGCTGACCGTCAAATCTAATTAGTGGGATAGCCCTCTTTAGAAGAACGAGAGGGACATCAAGCTGTTGAGGGGCGGCCTGAGCGATCTTCCTGTCGATCAGAATATACGCGTTGGCTCCACTGTCTACTAAAGCGCGAAGATGAAGAACCTTGTTGTCTGCACCCTTGAGATCGAATGCCACGATGAGAGATGGCCCCCTGACGAGCTAGTCGAGCCTGACAGGTACGCTCTTGTGATAGCCCAAGGCTGTGATTTCGCCTAGGGCATCTCGTTTTCTGACTCCGCAGGTTCCTCGTCAGGGCCAGAGGACTCATCTCTGAAGTCAGATTCTGCCTCTTTGATCTTACTAACGTGAAGGTCAGGGCAGTCAGGTTTCACATAGCCAGGCTTGTTGCAGTAGAAACAAGTTACCGTATCATCCTTCTTGAAACCTACACGCTTCGATTTTGAACCAGTGGCCTGGCTGGGAGAAGGAGTAGGAGAGCGTCATAGTGGGCCTGCTGTCGGGGCCAAAGGGAACGGATACGCCTTACCTGGCGTAGTCCTGGCTTTTAGGCGCTTAGTATCGGGCCTTGGGCTGTTGGGTCAAGCACGGTTGCGGATTCGCTCTTCTTCTCTCTCTTTTCTACGAATTAGTATGAGCCGGTTCTCTTGCTTTATGACCCAATGAGCCATAGTGCCGGCGTTGTAGAAAGTCTGATCCCCTATCTCGCAAAGGAGTTCAGCGGACATCTTTTCCTACAGGTCCTTATACTGATCCTGGCTAGACTTGCTGATCTGTGACGCTAAACGCGTGAAGTCAGCCTAGAAAGCGTCAAACGGTCGGTCACCCTAGCGTAAGGCAGCGTAGGCCGCCTTAGCACGTTATTAGCGTAGCGTGTCACTTTCTCTGAAGGCTTGCTTTATAATAGCGAAGATCTCCTTAGGCGTCTGAATAGGGTATAGTGACGTTAATTTAAGGCGCTTACAGATGTAGTCTCTAGCAGGGCCCTTTACAAGGCTAGTAATGAATCTTATAACCTGTGGGTCGTCCTAAGGGAAAGGGCTGACAAGAGAGCAAGTCTTATAAATCTAATCTTCGACCAGGATATCCTTAGGGCCGCTCAGGCTGCTAAAGGTCTTAGAAGTACCCTTGCGAAGATCCTTGATAGCAAGAGGCGGGAGAGAAGTCGACCTAAGGGGCTCTGTGCCGGCTCTCCTGCTTCCTAGCTTATAGGAGCCGGTCTTACAAGGGCAATAATTCTGCGCTTGTATCAGAATAGGCCTTAGAAAAGGCGATGAGAAGAAGGTCAATAACAGGTTTAAGGTACGCTCTATCTTTAGAAGAGGATCTATAAGAGTGGCCTTCTGTTATAAGCTAGTCACCGTCTCTATATATAGGTTAAAATATATAAAAGACATCAAGGAGGCAGGCGCCTAACACGCAGACGCCTAATAACAGGTTACCTGCTTTGTTAGGTTAGCAATTTTCTCTTACAGGGCCATATTCTGTTCTTGCAAGGCTGTATTTTGTTTTTCTAACTCTTAGCTAGTAGCAGCAAACTATGTAACGTACTCCGAAATTTGGTAAGCTAAGTCAGCATTAGTATTTGCTGTTTTCGCTAGCTTTAAGGCGACCCTTTTAGCTGTCTAATTAATCAGAGCTTATTCTTATATTTCTTATTACTGTAGCTTAGCTAGAATAACATTAATACTGAATTAAAGATTAGCTGATATAATTACTCTTAGCTGAGCTACTCTAGCAAGGGGATTAGAAAGGTCGAAAGGTAAGATGAGATTAAGGTAGTCATTTTTAGTAAAAGGAATAGAGTTATTAGTCCTAGCCAGGCTAGATAAGTCAAAGGCAATTATATTAAATATAGTCTAGGGGGCTGCCCCTACGTTCTCGCGTATTAGCAACTGGTTACTAATTAATATTATTATTATTAATGCGTGGCCTAGCTCTAATAGAGTATTACGTAAGTTAAAAGAGGAAAGGTAACAGGACCTCAAAGGGTATTATAATTATCAAGATAAGGAAAAGGTTAGTAGCCTTTTTAAATAGGGTAGCTGTCTGATAGCTCTAGAGTATGCCGACCCTATATTTATACTCTGCCTCAACTACAGAGTCATCATATATATACGTATAGGGCGCTCTGTTCTTTTACTCGCTAGGTACAAGAATCCCGCTTATTTGAATTCAGAGGTCTAAATCTCCTTGTCTTCTTTAACCTCGTCAGAGGCGCAGAGGGTATCAGAGAGGCTTGCTTTAAACTCAAGTCCGACCTCAAATATCAACACTGACCCAGAATAAGCTGGCGACGAGTCCAGAGATACAGATCTCTTACAGTCAATAGTTTAACAACCGTTTCCAGTCAAAGAGCAGTCTTAGAATAATGTCACGTGTCATGTTAGAAGCAAGCGACAAGTACGCGAGATCTTCAGCTCATGTTAAGTGCTATTCTAAGACTGAAGAGTCGACGGTAAGGGCCCTAGGGTCGCTTCTATATAGCAAGCATGCCCCTTACTAACGTCTAGTGCTAATTAATACCCAGCGCCCTAGCGCTAGCGGGCGACAAGCATAGCAGCTGTAACACTAGGCACATCCTGCCCTTTAAACGTGTAACCTTAAGTCTGCCAAATTTACTACTATCCCTTTAATTCTTCTTAAGGGT